TAAGCTCCTGAGGGCATCTAGTTTTCCTTTGGATGTCATTTGAGGAGACGGATACCTTTCTCTGGCAACAGGTTCGAAGAATTAATGACTCGGTATGAAAACCTACAAGTCACGTATATTTTGTTTGATCTTGGCCTTCGTACTCACCTGCTGTGTCCTATGAGTTGCCCTGATTTGATAAGCAGAAAAAGAGGGAATAATCCAGGTCCAAAATAATTTTATACATGAAAATCAAATAACTTCTTATCTGAGGAAGGACATTACCCGTAGTCCGGTCTCATAAGGATCTAGGGGTGACACAGAGTAATGATCTTAAGACGACGGTCCATTGCCGGGAGGTCGCAGTTAAGGGGTTTCGAACCCTCTGGGCTTTAAAAAGGACATTCACTAAGTTAGATACTACCACGTTCACGACAGTATACACATCCTTAGTGAGAACTAAGTTAGGGAACTGCGTTCAGGCTGCAAACCCCTGCTTAAAAGGTGACTCAGACATACTAGAAAAAGTACAGAGGGCAGCTTCGCGTGCAAGTACGGGACTCCGGGGTTTATCATACAAAGAGCGGCTTGAAAAACTGAACCTCTTTACTCTGTCCTATCGCAGACTAAAGGGAGATCTAATATTGATGTACAGAATACTGAGAAATGATTTCGGACTTAACTTATTCTCCCTCTTTCTTCTCACTAGATCGGGACACCTCAGAAGACATAGCAGGCAAGTAGAAAAGCCAAGGACGAACAAAATACCCGTGGCATACAGGTTTTCACACCGAGTCATCAATACTTGGAAACTGCTGCCTGAAGCAGTAGTGTCCGCACCTTCAATTGACTCTTTCAAGAGAAGACTGGACACTCACAGAAGCATACTAGAGAAGGAATAACATAGGCCGTAGGCCTTCTGTCCATACTACACAAATCTGTCGGTGTAGTATCTGCTGTTACGCGACGACTCAGACAACCGACCCTGACCGACGCAAAAGTGAGATCTTTAACATTAACAAGGGGAGTATTACCACCTGGTACTGACATTGATAACAATGCATCTTTAGTGGGAACTGACGAACTGGATAAAACCATCACCGTTCCAAATAGTCCCAATGTCCTGAGGGATGAAAAATGGACTACGGTACGTAGGAAACGAAACGAAAGGAAAAAAGCTGTAGGCAGTACACAGGTAGTTAGTAACTCACTGATGGACTCTCATTGTGAGTCACAAGCTTCACTACCAAAATCCGATGGTAAGAGTGAAACCCATCCTGGCGTGACTGAGAAGAAAAATCGAATAACAGCTAGAAATAATGACTGTTTACTTGATAAGTCCTTGGTGGACTCTCAGACCAATCCGCCAAAGCTCCAAAGTAAAGCTTCGTCTAACACTGTTGTGAGTCACTCACAGGACTCTGTTACAATAAAAGCTAATCGTAAGATACCAGCGGTTAATATACAGGATCTATCGTCACGGTCGAAAGCTGTTAACACAGTTTCAAAGGAAGCTAAACCCTTCCTAGTTTAATTATTTGGAATCTAGAGGAGTCGAAAGATAACGACCCTGCTAGAAGACATGCACATGACCTGCAGTTAGTGGAGTCTGTGGTAAGAAATGTACTACCTGAAGAGGTTTCAGGGGTACATATTACAAAAGTAATACGACTTGGTAAATGGGTTGGAGGCGAGACCCAACCAAGAAGAATCCTGAAGCTGGTTCTCGGGAGTTTCGAAGAAAGAGACATATTATTGAAAAGCGCACAAAAACTCGTGACTCAAATATCCGTATTCGACCAGATTGGCCGCTTGAGGATCGAATCAAGTGGAAGAATGCTCTTACGGAGTTGAGGACTCGCAAATTAAATGGCGAAAATAACCTTACCATTAAGGGTTTTCGGGTAGTCAGGTCTTGGAAGCCAATGCTTCCGAGGCCTGTATGGGTAGAACGATTGATTTCCAAAACACCTTAAGTGTGTGCTACACGAACGCTCGTAGTCTTAGAAATAAAACGTCCGAGCTAAGTCTGATGGTGCAAGAATTATGTCCCGATATAATCGTTGTTACAGAAACTTGGTTCACCGTAGATATAGACTGTTCTCCTTTCATTGCAGGTTATATCTGTATCAGAAGTGATAGAGTTTCAAGTCGCAAGGGGGAGGTATAATATTATACGTTAGGGATCACTTTCGTATACAATCAACCATATCGGAGGCTCATATCAGTGGCACATGTGAGGTTGCATGTTGTAAGATTAAATCTAGAAATGGGTTAGTGACTATAGGGGGAATATACCGTAGTCCGTTTTGTCTTGCTGACGACTTTATCCTAAGACACATCTGTTCTTGGAGTATGGCAGAATGTTGTCTCATCATTGGGGACTTCAACGCACCGCATATCAACTGGATAGAGCTTACAGCTCCAGGTAGTGGTTTCGATAGCGACCTTTTATCTACCGTTATTCAGTGTGCACTTGTACAATGTATCACAAAACCGACACATATTGATTTCAATCATGATCCGTCACTGCTGGACCTCGCCCTCACCCACCACTGTGAGGATGTCTTTGATATTCAGCACCTTCCCCCACTAGTGAACAGTGATCACGTTGTAATTCACTTTAAGTTTAGGACACATGGTATACAATTCGTATCTGCTCCACCCCGTCCCAATATCTGGCGAGCTAATATTCCGGAAATCAGAAACTGTGCTATCTCGACTGATTGGTCGGTCGACGCGGATGGATTGATCGAAGATGAATGGAATAAGTTTAAGGCTACATTCGAGTCCGTAACGTCGCCGTTTATCCCATGGTCAGCACGTAAGCTATCACATTGCCCTCCATGGATTAATAAGGAAACCCGGAAGCTGTTAAAGCGTAGGAAACATTTCTGGGACTTATTCTTGTTGACAGGTCATGCACCATTTAAGCGTGAGTACCAAAAATACCGTAATATCTGTAAGAAAACCATAGCCAAATCCCGTACCACTTACGAACGACAGTTAGTATATGATAGCCGTACTTGTCCGAAACGATTGTTTTCGTATGTTAAACGGCAAATGAAACGTAGTGATGGTATTCCCCCGTTACTGTTACACGAAAATTCAGAATTACTAGCTGAATCAGATCGAGCAAAAGCTGAGACTTTTTCAGACTATTTTAGCGAAGTCTTCTCTACGTTTATTGTAACAAATACTTGTCCCACTCACACCGAGATACCAACCATTGAATCTGTACAGGTGACTGAGGAAACTGTCCTTCCGTTGATAACTAACCTCAAACCTGGTAAGATACCGGGCCCTGACGGGTTACATCCACGGTTGCTGTCATCTCTTGCGGACATTATTTCAAAACCGCTTGCGACACTCTTCAACATGTCCCTCTCACTCGCTCAACTCCCTAGAGATTGGAAGGACGCTATAGTTAGTCCTATATTTAAGGACGGTCAGCGACAGATAGTATCTAACTACCGGCCTGTCAGTCTAACTAGCATAGTCGTTAAGTTACTCGAAAAGATAATTCGGGTTAGGTTGCTAAGCCACATAGATTTACACAATCTGTTAGCTCCTGAGCAACACGGATTTCGTAACAAGCGTTCATGCTTGACTAACTTGCTTATTGCGAGGGAGGATTGGACAGCAGCCCTAGATCACGGTCTGTCTGTCGACGTGATATTCATAGATTTTAGCAAAGCGTTTGACAAGGTTTCACACGTAGGTCTTATGCAGAAGCTCACGAGCTTCGGAATAATAGGTACTGTACATGAGTGGATAGGAAATTTCTTATGTGACCGCAGACAGAGAGTTAGGGTCAATGGAACGCTATCCGATTGGAAGCCGGTCAAAAGTGGTGTACCCCAAGGCACCATCTTAGGCCCTCTGCTCTTCCTTCTCTACGTTAATGAGTTACCGCTGTTACTTAGGTCGTCGACATTATTGTTTGCGGATGATGTAAAAATCTGGAGAACAATAAAAAGTGCGGCTGATCATGTGGATCTTCAAGCTGATTTAGACGATTTAGTTAGATGGGCTCGAGAGTGGGGCTTAGAAATCAATGCTAGGAAGAGTGTACTAATGCACATCGGTCACGGTAATAGTTACCGTTACACTATTGAGGGTAAACCTCTTCCATGCGTTCAAGAGCATAAGGACTTAGGAGTAATATTAAGTCATGACTTAAAAACAACTGCGCATTGCAAAGCAGCCGCTGTCAAAGGTTTTCGTGCGTTATGGTCACTTCGCCGAGCGTTCAAATCTTTTGACGAGGAAACGTTTCGAATTTTATATCCCATATATGTAGAACCACATTTAGAGTACTGTATCCAAGCAGCTAGCCCGTGTCTGGTAAAGGATACTAACTCCCTTGAGCGTGTCCAGCGTGTGGGAACGAAATTAGTGAAGGGTCTTTCTAGACTCCCTTACGATGAGCGCTTAAAACGCCTAAATCTTTTCCCCTTGTCGTATCGTAGGACACGAGGTGACCTTATACTGGCATTTCGTATCTTTAATTATGATTTGGGTGTTAATATGTCTTATCTTTTTGCTCCCTCCAGCACTAATAATCTCCGAGGTCATAGCAAGAAGGTTCATAAACCACGATCTAATAAACTTAAAGTGGGGTCCCGTTTTTCTCATCGAGTAGTCAATGATTGGAACGCCTTACCCGAACAAGTGGTATCAGCCCCATCAGTGAATACTTTCAAGGAGAAGCTGGACCTTCACTGGAAAGCAGTGCGTCAGGATTAATACAGGTTCATCAACCTACTATCCTTATTACTGAAGACTGAAGACTGAATCTAAAGCGGTATAGCTTTCTAAGCCGCTCTTTATGTGGTTAGTCTGAATATAAACAGAGACATAAATCTGTTTTTGCTAATTGATTTGTATCGTAAAGGACCAGACTAGGTTACTTTAGAGTGTCATAATGTATTCGGAAAATTTGGGTGCTATAGATCCTAAAATTTAAAACCGCGAGATTCGGACAGTGCGCTTCAGGTAAGGGGAAGGCTTCAGTTGTTATGGCTTGTGGAAATAAAGGGTTATATCGGTTGCTTTGGATCCCATTTCCCTTATTTGTAGTAGCTGGTGTATCGTTGCCGTTGTTTGGCCTGATTATTTGCTTCTTTGTATCGACATACAATACTTTCGATGAGGTTACAGAATCTGTGTGTGGGGTAATTGGTGCAGTCTTAGAATTACTTTATAGGTATCCAATTTTGTTCCATCTATCAGTGCTGTGACTGGGATAAAACCTCAAATATATTTATGGCGCTACACAGTTGGGCTGCATAGTGCACCACGTCTACTCCTTGCGTTTATATATCTTCGATACCATATGTCTTATCACAAAATGTTCAACCAGTCATTGGTTTATAAAATTTTGACTGTTGTTGCATTCTGTCTCAACCTTCTAGATGTGGGTTCGTTTGTGGGAGTAGCTTTTATATCTAACCAAGAGAATTACCGTATGTTTCATCTTGTTTGTTATGAAAGATTTTGTAGCTCTCCATGAACATTTGTTCATTGTTTTCCTGATCGCTTCAACTGCCTATATGATAGTCACTCTAGTGGTTCATTGGATAATAGGAATCACTTCTTGCACTCCGAGAGTAACGTGTTTGTATCTCGTATACTAATATTTTCAGTTCAAATATTCTTTTAACCTGAAGTCCCTGTTTTTCGGACTAGATGTTTGCTTAATCCTCTTGTTAGTCCACCAGTTCTACAACCATAGGTTTACCTGTAAGGCAAACGGTAAGTTCTTTTTTTATTTGTACAACTGTCCAACTTTTATTTTACTTGTCACCACTAGAAAGTAATTTTCAAACCTAATCCAATAAATTCAAAATTAAGAAATATCAGGCACTCGTGCATGTTTTGTTGCCATATTTTTATGAAGTGTATGTATCTACATTTCATGCTGAACTAAGTTTATGAGAACTTATTGAAATTGGTTTAAATTGTAAATAAAATCCCAAATTAGTGTCTGTTTAACCTATTGTGGTTTACTCGTCTCAGTCGATGACTCGCTATATGAGTAGTTTATAATCGTGATTCTTTGTAAATATACTATATATACCTAATATTTTCGGCTATTATTGATGCCGTCACTGTTACTATTCTTGCGTTTGTCTTCATAATTTTATCGCGCTGTCAAATGTAGTGTAGTAGCTTGGATCAGTTCACATATGTACTAGGATATACGTTGCGTATGGTTGACTGACGTTTCGACTATTTTTGCCATATGGTAATGTTCACAATATAAAAGACGGATTATTTTAAAAGTTCGTAATGAATCCTGAAACTTGTTGGCCAGCTTCCTAAACTTCACGCTTCCTAAGTAGCATGAATTCATAGTTTTTGTACCATAAGATTCTCTAATGACCATGAAACTAAATTATCGACTGAGCGTTAGATTTCAAGTAATAATACTAAGGTAGTTCATAAGATTGTTGACAATATCACTTTCTTGTCTTCTCATAAGAACGTCATGTTTTTGGTGTTACTGTCTATGTTAGGTAATATATTTAAAGTAAACATTTAGTTCATGTAATTAGTTGTTTGTAGAGATCTTTAAGGCGCTTGGTATTGTTTGAATAAAACATCTAAATGTTCTCCGTTGTCTACATTCAGACGTGTTTTAATGAGAGCAAGATGAATCACGACCGTTCCTCCATAAACTAAGGAAATCTCATCTGCTGTTTATTTTTACAATGGTCAGTAGCAGTAATGTCTGTTCTCAACCTTTGTTGAACGTTTCATAGCTTTTCTTTAGCATCAATTCCTCCTCATTGTCCTTGGAGGTTACTTTACTGATTTCAGGTGTGGCACCTTGAACTGCTACAAATCTTAATGAGATTCCGTTGTGTTTATACCTGTTTATGCCTGTTAATCGTATAAAGTTACTTAAGTATTTTATTTATTTGAAAACAACGAGGTTGTGAAGGGATAGAAAACGTAAAGTGCTTATAATAAAAAGAACAACGATCAGAAATTAGTGTACGAAAGTGAAATAATAATGATAATAGTGCGACAAACAGTTCAGTTAGTAAAAATACAACAAGAAGAATTGTTTCAGTTAAAGAAATTACGTCCAATTTTAATTATCATGGATACATGTGTGGGATGGGATACTGCATAGGTGTCCGAATCGAAGCACGTGGTTTCTGTAGGGAGCAATACGCTGGGCCTCTGACCTAAGAGTCTAATCCACAAGGCAGTGGAGCGACGTTAGGAGATGCAGTCCCATGTGACTGTGACCAACAATGGTTTCATGCACCATTTGTTCCCTCAGGATCCTGGAGTTCATGTGCACGGTTGGTTTGGAATCAAGATGTTGCAACTCCCTTACGTGGATCTTCCGTACTCACCAATCCGGTTAAAGCGCGATAAGTTCGTTCTTGTCCTCTCTATTTCGTAAACGACACCCACGTTGCGAGAAATCAATGAGTAGGACTTCACTGGTAGTGTCTGTATATGCATGGCCTTGTGAAAGCGTTTGAAGATGGGGAGTATTTTACCTTCAATCCGTTAGTTCATTTGATTTGTACTTGGTTAATGATTATTTAAGAGTTTTAAATGGATATCAGTGCTTTCAACTAACTCATACTAATGATGGAATCAACAATCTGTTTGTTAATTTGAAAATAAATGTTGGTAAAAATGGGCACTGAAGTAAATATGCACCACATAATACGAAAATGAAATTTTGAAGAGATAGAGAAGAGCGAAATAAGTGAACGAGAATAGTTGATGATATCAGAAGTAAATCAGTTGTAAAATACAGTAAGGAAGGATTCTTCCAGTTAATGTTCTCACTTTATGAAGATTTTAAAGGAAAACTACATCGGAACCACAATTGGTTCCTATTTTCAACCATGTCTGATAACATCTTAAGATACCAAGTTGCACCATCTCCAGAAATCCAGCCAGGGAGTCGTGGTGAACCGATAGATACCAGTCCAAATAGACTACCGTTGTTAATATCAGTTACTCTTCATAATTTGTAGTAAATAGTAAGCTAAATTGGCCAAATTGTATTCATTTGTATTAGTTTACTCGTGTTTTACCAGTTATTCGTCATTTTATTTTAAATTACCCATAACCATGTTGATATTATATTTGTTTATTTGTTTTAAGCATTTAGTTGGTTTTCAGCTAGTGAATATGGTATCGCAATTGCTAATATGGGATTTCACCTAACTGCTGCATATGACTTTCAGGATGTGGCTTTAACAACCATAACTTTTAAACCTTCTACTGAATAGATAACGTTTTTTGATAATCTGGTATCTTTCCATTTGTTATGGAATCATTTGGCTTCCAATATTTCTACCTGTTACCTTTTAAGCATTGTAATTACAACCACTGTGCAATGCTTCTTCTCACCTTATTATTTTTATATACTCATTGATTAAATTATGTTTGATACATATCTTTCAGTTTAAAAGTTAGTTGCTTATTTTTTTTTATTGACCAGTAGTTTTTTTATTTTACCGATGTAAATTTTTGCTGGTATGATTTTCCGGAGTTTGTCTTGTGATCTTACTTTTACGTAAGCTTGTATCAGATTATTTTCGAAGTAATAGTATTACCACTATTACTATTATTATCGTATTTCCTTGTTTAGCACTATTATGTAGTCTGGTCCTTTAATAAATAAAAATTTATTAAAGTCATTTTGTTTTTTTTTCTTATTTTCATGTGATATTATTTTCAACCGTGCATGTATTTTGTAGACTAAATGGTCAATTTACCCCCGAGACATGAAGAAAAACTTGCAATCGAAAAGTAAGTTAAAGTTATCATTTTAATAAGTTTTAGTCTTTTCTAGTCATTATTATTTACTTTTTGTGAAAATCATTCATTTCCCAAACAGATAAGGTAATTCATCTACCAATTACATGTTTATATTCTTACCTTTAAGTCACAAATCTTTTGTGTAGCTTGGTAACATTACTCGATTGGTGGTAACAGTAGTTGGGTTCGAAACTGTTCCACTTATTCGTTAAAAGCCTATAAAAAGCGAATATTCACTTTTACAGTGCAAAGCTGGGATTACAATACTACAGTTCTCCAGTTGTGTACTGGCGATTTTTGTGTTATTTACTACTTTTAATTGTCAAATTGTGTTGTCTGGAACGAACTTCAAGCCTGAAAGTTCCTAATATTTAGTAATTTGGTTTTGCCATTGAAAACTGTGGACAATATATTTGAACCGGTTATTTTAGCATAAAAAGGTTGAAATAATCTAAAATATACGGTTATAAAATTCCAGAATACTGACTCACAAAATTGTTTGAACTTTCCGTAACATGCTATCGGTGAAGGTAATCGACTTCCAACTAATAAGCCGCAGTTTTGACCTCCGCTCCACCTACGTTGATTTAAGGGATCAGAGTGCTTGGTTAATCTAGATACAAACAGTGTGGTTGACAATTAAATGCATAAACTTCTACTTGTTCAGTGAGTTACATTTGGGACTTTTCAAATATATTGTTGATTAATTACTCATTAACCCTCATAAAACCTCATAGAACTGTGTGTGTAAGAATAGGGAATCTCCGACTGTATTATACGTAAAGAAACAAAAGAAGAAAAGGCTACTAGAAATAAAAAACAAACATGAAAAGAATCAAACTTCGAGTAAACGTCACGTCGACAAGAACATAATTGGAAGTAAGGAGAACAAATAGTGATGGGCAAATTCGTTTATTACATCCGCTCTTCACATACGTCTGAATAAGGCCATAACAAACATTGTTGCACAATAATATGAATTCATTATATTTCGTGGTTTCTTATCAAATGCTTACAATTCTATGTGCAATAGAAGTAAGTGTCGAGGTAAGATATGATATGAAAATCAATTGATTTAAATCATAGAAAAAAATAGAGTGCATATACATCAGCTGGAATTGGACCGAGAAGGCTACTGATTGCTACTCCATCAATTTGGTTGTACAACACATTTTTATTTGGAATTGTATATTTTTGGTACACAAGAACAGGAGCTGTTTGAATTGGTTGATTGGCAAAGGAAAGATTTCAGGATGTTCACATATGATATTTGCCGTTTCTTACAAAGGGATCTTTGTGAAGAGAGATGAGACGTCAAAAGATACTATGAATTTATCGCAAGCATTTAAGCTGTCAAGCTTCTGTACAAATTTGAAACTATCCTTCAGGCTGTAGAGAGCTACTTTCTCGTGGACTGGTTCTAAGCACCTAGTCAACCAGCGGACGAGTTTATTGAATGGTGATTTGGTCATAGATAGTACTGGCCTCATCGGGATGTTAGGTTTGTGTATTTTGGGTAAACCGTACAAGTAAGGTAATTGTGATCCTTTCGGTTTGAGTTCATTGTGTGTAGAGTTATCGATTAAATTTCTCTTCAAGAGTTCTCTCAACCTTTTTAAAAGGTGCTTCTCAATCGCATCTGTCAGGTCTTTCAATGATAAGTCTCGAGGAATCGTTGCTAATGTATTCGTTTCTGTTTAGGAAGACTACACTGGGAACCCCTGTCTGGTCGAAGTAGCATTATTGTGTCGTCTTTCATAAGTTGTCTCAGTTCTTGCTGATGATCTTTAATCAACACCTTAGATTGTGGAACTGGTGTTGTAACGTACTGATTTGTAATATCCACTCATTTCGTTTTGAATCAACTTTGTTTTTCATCATTCATAGGTTTGGGGTCTGACAACTTGATATAAATACTCGAATTGCGTTTCGGTGTCGATTCTGTCATATTTTTTTCAGAATATGAAATTTAAATCCGGGGGAGAGTGTCTCTATTTCAATTCGACTTAGTTTTTTACTAGATAAATTCTGTATGTACTTTTCTGGATTGATAGGAAAGACGTCATGATTTACAAGGTTTTGGTTAAACTCTATGAATTTGCTGCTGGTTTTTGACTAACGTTATGAATGAAATTCGGCAGTTTGATTCGACATATAATATTTAAATTATTAACAATTTTGTCAAAAGCTTTGACAAACGTTTTGAGTTTAGAGATACGTTCCTTGGTGCATTCGATTTGGGATTTTGTGACACGCCGTAAATTTTTTGATGAAGGAGATATTTTACATGTACGTACAGCTTTAATAAATTGACGAGGGAAGCATCCATAATTCAAGCACTGGCCAAACAACTCTAATCTCGTTTCTCTCGATATCCTGCAACAGATTATCACTAGTTGGGTGACTTGAAAACATGAACAAGGAGGCGACCCTCTGGAAATTTCATTCAATTGGTTCCCTTTATGAATATGATTAATGCCAGAACAAACATTGGTGCAGAATAATATGAATTCATTTTATTTCATGGTTTCTCATCAGCTGCTTACAACCACATGTGTGATGGAAATTAGCATTGAGGTAACATGTAACAGTCCCCAAATGTCGAGAATGGGGAGGGTCCGCTTCTCCTCTCGAAGTGCTCCCACATGACCACGCATATACAGACACTACAAGTGAATTTCTGCTCATTGATTTCTCGCAACGCGGGTGTCGTTTACGAAATAGAGAGGACAAGAACGAATATATGGCGCTTTAAACGGGTAAGTGGGTACGTAAGACCCACCTAAGGGAGTTGCAACATCCTGATTCCAAACCAACCGTGCACATGAACTCCAGGATCCTGAGGGAACAAATGGTGCATGAAACCATTGTTGGTCACAGTCACAATGGGACTGCATCTCCTAACGTCGCTCCACTGCCTTGTGGATTAGACTCTTAGGTCAGAGGCCCAGCGTGTTGCTCCCTACAGAAACCACGTGCTTCGATTCGGACACCTATGCAGTATCCCATCCCACACACAAATCATTGATAATTATTTCTGGTAAGATATCGTTTCTCACACTGAAATGACCGGCTTCGAAGTAGCGTGTTTTATTCCCACTAATTTACATCGTTGTTTGTGAGGACTTGTAAATATGGAGCTAATGCATCTAGAACTTTTCATGAAAGGACCGTTTGTAGCTGTTCTCAAGCAGTTATCCATTAAGCACTGTTCGTTTCATTCATTGACTGGATAAGTTTTCGAACTTTAATGTCGTTAGTACCTTTCCTGTTGGTTATGATTGAAAATCGAGGACTTTGGGGACTCCAAACTAGAGTTAATTTCGTGTAACCTCTCATTCACTCTTGCTTAAAGTGAGTTTTGTTAATTTGGTTTCACAAAGTAAGCTTTTAATTGTCGTTTTATATTAAAGCTTCGGTTAGCACATTCGATGTGTGCTTTAAGCTTATTTTCTTTTATAAATATTCAGACCTTTTGTACTAGTTCTGCTTTGTTTTGTTTCGTTTCTATAGGTGTTTACGTTCTTTCATAATCAAGTCAATACATGCTATCGTACAAGCCCGTAATGGGATTGTTTGTAACACTAATTGTGTGTCTGAAGTTGGCGCCAGAAACAATATGGTAATTTCTTAATATTTTCTAGTTGGTGGTATTCTACTGAATGCGAATTTGTGCTGGTTTCATGTTCATCTTCACTATGATTAATGGATCTTTCTGATTGTAGATTCTATATGATCAGGTTTGTGTATTGTAACGACTCAATCGACCTATACTGACTAGATCACTTGTTGCTTCATTTACTAGCATGTTTAGGCGGTTGACTGATGTTTAGTATTGTCAAAAGGCGGTGAATATGAGGTACTAAACAAATATTTCGTAGTTGAGAAATAAAAAAATATTCACCCGGTTACATTTACCAGGTTTCAAACAGTTATCTTTCGGGAGTATGTGTGACCAGTCTTCTAGATAGTTGTGTCAACTGGGTATCAACCCATTTTCTTTTACAGGATCTTTAAGGAGGATTATTTCTAAATGGGGCAATTAGATGGAAAATATCGATGCCATGGATACCTATTTAGGGCACCATGAACTAAGTCTCTTGTTTCATAATTTTTCTTGTCTATTATCAATATTTCGTCAGTAGTTATAACTGGTTGAGAATTATTAAACTAAACTAATTAAATTGAGATTACAAGAAAGCATCAAATCATAACCGGTTACTTTCAGAATGATTGTAATCCGAGTTTGAAAGATGCAGATAGTTCCACTTGGCTAATGTTAATTAATGATCATTCAAATTTATAAGAAGAGTGGATTGTATTTTTAATAGTATGTTTCCTAAAATCTATCTGTCCAGGATTCTTACTGTGCATATACCTGCCGTTGTATCATATCATATGTTGGTTTCATGTATTCATTTAACACCTAAGTTGAACTGTTAATAAATATAAGCTCTTTCACTTCTAT